AGAGAGTCTCTAGACCTTAGACGTTAATTCCGTCACTTATAATTCCTCCGATCAGGTGTACATATAAGTGAAAAATTAAAACGTCACATTATCTTGTATGATACTTGAACAATGTTCCTTATCACATTATTATTATAAATAATAATCATATGAGACTGTTTATCCTCTAATACAGAAGAAATAAATTCATTGTCTTAATACATCACTTTACAATCTTTACAACTATGGATTCTAACTTTAAATCCAAATATGTAAATTATTCTTTGATGTATTATCAGCCTCGTCTCCATATTTAACACATTTATATCTTAGGACACAATAATGCGACCCAAACAATAATATTTATATTATCATATTTCAACCGGTGGGCGTAGCTCAACTGGTAGGAAGGGAGTGCCACAAGGGTTAGGTCCCGGGTTCGAATCCCAGCAACTGCGATGAGGGGTTACTATGCTAAAAAATGCATAGAGCCTCTGCAAGTACCGGGGACAGAGCCCCACTCTCTATCTGTCAGATTGGGATTATAGTCCAACTTACATCCTCCCAACGTACTGTCCGGTCGGGGTTGGGGGGCCCTCAGGGATGGGGTGTCATCCTTTTATTTTATATTATCATATTTCCAACACAAACAACTTTACATGCATTATTAATCACAAAATCGAAGACTTATGCCTTCCTGACAGTTGATGTGTTGTTCCAGGATATTACATGCATTATTAATGATAACACATGGAGTTTTGACACATTTTTAAATCACGAGAGGGGCTTGTACATCTTAAAACCATATTATGTGTCACAAGGATTATGCAACCTAGTGGTAACTGGTAAAGAGTTTAGCCTAAAGGAAATAACGAAGCAAACCAAGTTGAGACACATACCCTAATGTGTGTTTCATCCATTTCTCATCATCTCTTTTCTGCAAAGCCAAAAGGGTAAATGAAATTACTAGAGTTCAAATAGAGTGGAAAAGGTAAGATATTTTCACGAGAGTCCGGAACTAACTGTAAAATCTTCACGGGCATGTGCGCCTCTGCTCTCTTTTCTAGCCTCAGCAGATGACATTGTGATACAAGCATTAATCAACTCAATCGTCTCTATAAGGTCTGAATTCCTCAGAAGGGAAAGCACATGGGAAAACAGGGAAGGAAGATAGATGAAAAAGGAAACTTCAGGATAATGATATAAAAGCAAGGAAAAAGATCTAAACAAGTTTACCATATCAAACTGCGATCCTTCAGCTGCACCTCATGGAAGCTCTCCCATGCCTTATCAATTAGCTGACAACTAGTTGAAGCGTAAATAAATGGGTCAAGTGATATTAAATTAATACTCCATAATTTATGCCAGCTAAACTTTATCTGAGATAGCATACCAGTAAGGTTCTGTTTAGAACCTGGAAATTCTATTGAAAGAAAACAAAGAGGAAAGTAAAGGGGAAACTTTGAAGGAAAGAAAATTCAGGGAAATACAAAAAGTTGGTTCAGACTTGGCTAATTAATTTTAGATATTTGGGGGAAAAAGTTTTATTTAATTATTTATTTATACATATTTGTTATAGACTCTTTCATTGGCAAACAGTACAGGCGTAGGGCCCCCAAGACAGCAGAGGCAGGAGATGAGCAGACCGCACAGGAGTCCTAGTTCTATTATTCTTAATTTATTCATTATTTATTAATTTATTCATTATTCATTAGTTTATTAATTTAGACTTCTTTTACTGTTAGTCTCCTATTAGGAGAATTAGGGTTAGCCTTTTCCTATATATATAGGTAATCACATGTACGGCTGATTATTACTAATAAAGTTCAGATTCTATCGGCAAGGCCGGGTCTCTCTCTTCCACCATAGGTCATAAGAAGCCTTCTGGCTCACAACCTTCTTCACTCGATTCTTCCACCACCGAGACAAGGTCCGGGCCGTGGACAAGATCCTTCACCGCCAAACATAACAATATTACTCCGTATATGACATTATTTTCAATTGCGATGTCAATATGTCATATGCCAATCCATGTCAACCAACTCCAAACACTTCTAGGATTAAGGCTTGAATGTTGTTGTTGTATTCATATTATACGGGAAAATAATTTATATATCCCAAACTTTGAAGGGGTGTGAGTTAAATATCTCAAACTTGCACATGTAATATATATAGCCCAATCTTTATATAAAAAGTTATTTTAGCACCATGATCATATGTTTTTTCACAAATGTAATTTTATGGTGTTTAGTACAAAATTTAAAACACACAAAACACATATGATGGAATAAAGCAAAATAACTCACTAAACTCTCTGCGCTTCTTTGTTATGAAGCAGAAGTCGGTCCATGCAATTTTGGACGGGATTTTCACCATGGGTCTTTCGGAAACAGTCTCTTTGTGTTTTAGTACAGGGGTGTAAGACTGCGTACATCCGACCCCTCCTTACCCCACCGTAGGTGGGAGCCTTTGCGGCACTGGGGTAAATGAAAATGATGAAATGACACAAAACACTTATGAGGATACATTTCAAATTAGATTTTACTTGATTAATATTATTTATTTCACAAATGAAATATTAGAATGTTAACTGCATTCAAATAAAGCTTAGATTATTGAATTATGTACTTACTGTAATAAATTTGTATTTGTAAAAAACATATAATCATGGTGCGAAGATAACTTATTTATACAAAGTTCGGGGTATATATATTACATATGCAAGTTCGGGGTATTTATCTCACATCCCTTCAAAGTTTGGGGTATTTATATTATTTTCCCCTCATATTATATGAAAACTAAGAAAAATAAAATAGAGAAAAGGGTCAAATAGACCCTCACTACAAAAAAATTCGCCTGTAGTCACGGACGTAGTCACGGACCGTAGTGTAAAAAGTCCGTGACTAACACTTTTAGTCACGGACGAAGTCCGTGACTAGTTCAGTGACTAGTTCTGCGTGACTAGAATGTAGTCACGGACCAGTGGCCGTGACTAGGTGTAGTCACGGATTAGTCACGGACCGACATCCGTGACTACATCTTGACCGGAATAAGCCTCCGGCACGTTAGTCACGGACCATATCCGTGACTACTTTTAATTTAAATTTTTTTTGAATTAGTCACGGACACGAGCCGTGACTAAGTTCAATATAATTTTTTTTTATTTTTGTGGTAGTCACGGACGTATCCGTGACTCTATTAAATCTAAAAAATTGAATTTATTCCGGATAAAATTTAGTCACGGATCTGGTCCGTGACTAATGTTTTTGATTATAAAAAAAAAACAATTTTATATAAAAAAATAAAATTTGCTTTCCATCACTTAAACATATGTACTAAAAAAAGCATCACATAAACATCTTTATGTCAATTTTATAAGTACTATTATTATTATTATTATAAAAACAGAACATATAAAAACAAACTATTTCCCAATCATTTTTTCCTTTCTCTACCAAGGATGAAAAATCAGGATTGGTAGATATATTGGGACTACTTTTTTATGGGAATAAAAATAGACATTGATATCGGTTCAAAATTAAAAAGTGAATATTTTATTGGATTTAGTAAAAATTTACCACAAAATTTAGATTCTGTATAAAAACTTCGATTCTTAAGTTCAACATTAAGTTCTGATAAATTGACATAAAATTTCAAATTTACTTTATACAATATTATTGATTGTACATTCATCATTCAAGAATCGGTCATCATCATCATCACCCCAGTGCCGCAAAGGCTTCCCACCTTTGGTGGGGTAAAGTGGTCGGTCAGATGTACGCAGACTTACCCCTGTACTAAAGCACAAAGAGACTATTTCCAGATGACTCATAGAGAAAATCACGTCGAAAAATTGCATAGACTGACCGTTGCTTCATAACAAAGAAGCGCAAACAGTTTAGTGAGTCATTTTGCTTTATTCCATCATATTCTCCCCAAAAAATAGTGAGGGTTTGGCTCCATCCCAATTTGATTTGCAAAATTTCCTATTTTGGTTGTACCAAAATGGTTTTCCACTTTCTATTTTAGGTATGTAAATAAGAATAGAATGACAAATTTATCCTTACTTTTACTTTTTTCCATTAATTAAAGGAATCTACTTTTAGGAAGATGGGCAAAAATGTAAAAAGCAAACATCTTTTATTATCATTACTTAATCTTTGTGCTAATTCCATCATTTGCAATGGAGCCAAAGACTCACTATTTTTGGCCCGGGAATATGATGGAATAAAGCAAATGGGCTCACTAAACTGCGCTTCTTTGTTATAAAGCAACCGTCAATTCATGCAATTTTTGACGCGATTTTCACTATGGGTCATCCGGAAACAGTCTCTTTGTGCTTTAGTACAGGGGTAAGACTGCGTACATCCGACCCGCCTTACCCCACTGTAGGTGGGAGCCTTTGCGGCACTGAGGTAATGATGATGACGACTTAATCTTTATGCCAGTCAAAGTTTGCAATTCAATTCAGGACGGAGGGAGTAATCTCTATCGCACTATGGCTAGGTTGAAAAACAGAGATATCGGAGATATATTTATTAGTATTGAAGATATTATCATCCTTGTTCCCTTCAAATTCCAAAATCCCATACATATCTAACCAAACAGAGAAAATAAAAAGAAAAACTCTAATACCAACCTTCCTCTAAAGTCTCTTGTGTGCGGAAAACAGCTGCATTGTTTTGCATTAATCTTTGCATATTCAAACGAATCTTTGAAGTGGGCAATGAACCATTTGAATTTCTGAGTTTGTCTAACCATGCAATAGTCTTTTCTCCAGCATCCTTTTCCTACATACATGAAAACCTAGGGCATCTCATACATACATGAATGACATAAATAGGAATAGTTTAGTGAACCAATGGATTTTTTAACTTACCTGGCCTTTGAATTTCTGCAACCCTATTTGCACATGCACGGCCAAAAACAACAATGTCAAGAAGAGAATTCGCTCCAAGCCTATTAGCACCATGAACTGATGCACTGGAGGCTTCCCCTGCAGCCATCAGACCAGGAACCATCCTCCATATTTAGTGCAATTACACCTTGGCAGCTCCCTATGCCAAAAGTCATTATCAATTACATTTTGCAAATATATAAACTTGTACATATTATGGAGTGCATATAAGCGAAACATAGAAATAGTTTTACAAACAATTATACTCGCCAAGAAGCCAACTACCAGGAAGACACAAACAAGTGTTCTTAATAGCAAGAGACACAATTTACATTGTACATAACTCATACAACATAATAGGGAAAACCAGAATACAAAAATGCCTAAGATAATGCGACCAACTCACCATCATTGTTCATTAGTAAATCCAAAGCAAAATATTCCACAAAGAACTGTGTATTATGCTTCATGGCCTGGCCATAGAGAGTGTGCAACAATGCATGTCCAGTTCGATCAGCAGCACAAGCACAATGATATGCTTGTCCACCTGAGATGATTAAGCACAGAGTCAGATAAAGTAGAGCTTATGGAATGCATTATCAGAAGCTTAAGTTATCACCTTTTCCAAAATTTAGGCTTTGGCCACCAAATGCCCGCTGATATATTTTTCCATCTTCTGTACGAGAGAATGGTAGTCCGTAGTTCTCTAGCTCTATAACTACTTTTGGAGCTTCTCTACACATGTACTGAATAGCGTCCTGATCACCTGGAAAATTACTAGACATCTCTTACAAACAACATATACGCGACCATAACGCTCATACCTTAATGAAAGTGTGTTTTCAGAACTCTTACTAATATACAGATAAGAAAATTTGTTGAAAGATACATTTCAAACTGTTGTTGGAGGGAGAAGAAAGTACAAGTTCCAAAATAGTGAAATAGATCTAATTTAACCTAGCCAGTCGCTTCCTTTAACAGTATCATACATGTGCCACCTCCAATCATCCTCAGTCATGTTTCCTAACGCAGCATTTATACCACCCTATAGAAGAATTTCAAGTGTGAGGTTACTACAGCGCATGGTCTAATCAATGAGGTCAGGAAATGACCTAATACAGCTCAGCAAGTGAACCCAATGCTATCTAACCCAGAATACAGAAGATCAAACAAAAGAATTTGGAATACAGGCTTCAAGATTTTATAATTTCCATTTTTACTTCTCTATTATGGAGTATAAGTTAGTAACATGAATTACTGTTCATTCCAAGCATGAAGTTATTATGAAAACACAAGAATTTGAATTATTTTATCTGGAGATAGGAGGAGAGAACTTATTTACTTGTTCATCAAAGCTTATAGAACATTCAAGCCTAAATGCTCCAATATAATACTCCATAACTAATTATGTAAAATAGATTTTACCCTTTAAATTCCAAACATGGAAAATGATAATGTTTTATAATCTGCATATATGATAAGAAAAGATATCGTAACTATGATTAGTTTAAAAACTTATTGACCAAAGCGAAAAACTCAAAGGTTCAAAAAAACAATATTATGAAGTACTTAGGAATTAAATGAGAATGCACTCCCTAATATTTTAGAGATACTGTATATGCAATTTTAATATTGAAGATAATATGATTGATCTCCAGAAAGTCTCATAAAGTTTTCCCATTTTCTCCACATCATGTGCCCAAGATATTTTCTATAGAAAAAGCATCACACTCTAAGCAATAACTCAGTAACTCCTACAAGTTAGTGTGCTAAATTATCCATTACCCTTCAGAGCTTTGAGTAGTTTGGGTAAGCCAAATGAATAATATATTGTGTAGTTAACTTTCATTGATCGCAAGTTCGTAACTACTCATGCAATAAGAGAACATGTCCAGAAGTAATGTAAAGATTGAGAAGACCTTGAATAACTATAGATCAATAGATGTGCAGCAAACACAGAAAATCCAGGTTCACCATTCAAACTCTTGAATGGTGCTCACTGCAAAATCTGGGATTTTCTCAAAGGCATATTCAAAGTGTTAGAAGATTTAATTAATTAATGTGACTTTAAGATCATGTCCCCCCTGTAGGCTCTGAAGGGTAATGGTGCGGGTAATCGTATCCAAATTAAATGGGCGGGTAACGGGGCGGGTAGGTATAAACCCATAACCGCCCCACTACCCGTTTACATAAATAGGGTATTCCCCGCCACATACCTGTTACCCAGTCAAAACAGTTTTCCCCATTTTGACCGGTTCGGTTCGGTGGGGTATCTATCGGGTCAGGTCAAAATTGTCATCCCTAGTTGCCTCGAGAAGCTCTCGACGAAAGGAGTTGGGGACTCCTGATGGAGTATATGGCCCAGAGACCCCCGCCCCACAGACTCCTATTTCTTCTACACATGCCTATCAAGCCCGATGAGCACACAAGGTCCAAACGTAGCTGCCCAAGCATGAAGAAGCCCACGGTGCACATGTGGATGCCTTCGGCCCTATGGCGTAGGGCTCCAAATTCTAAGAGACAACTAGATATGGACTGAAAAGCTTTTGGGAATTTCTGGCTAAAATGTTAGCCTTCGGCTATTCCATGCCCTCGACTGTATATAGCTTTCGGCTATATGATGCCTTCGACTATATGATGCGTGGAAATGTTTGGGGTAGCCCAAACGGGAGGGGGGGAGGGGAGGGGGTAAATACAGGGGCTCTGGTGTTGGTTCGGGGGATAAAAAGGCCATTCTGAGTTACATAGAACATATCAAAAGAGTGCAGAGTTGGAATAGCCAATTTTTGTATAAGGCTGGTGGGGATGTTTTGTTGAAAACGGTCATTTAAGTGATGTCGAAATTTTTATGAATGTGATTTTGATACGGTGAAGCTACGCAAAGAGATCAAGGTTGTGATGAATAGTTACTAATGGACCTTGTTGGAATAAATCCATGAATACTTTAATCTTCATATTGAAATTATCTAGAGAATTAACTGAGCGGAAGCGTACCTGACTCCATGGGAGATAGCCTTTAGAGATCCGGGAGACGGAGGCTAGGGTTTGTGTCTTCTAGTTGATACACACCCTCGGGATTATCTCTCTAGCGATGGGATGCAGAAAGACAGAATGGCGTGTACAACTAGGGACCATAACCCCTTATTTATAGAGAGTGCTTAACCCTAATCAGCCCATCATTGATTAGGTCAAGCCCATGGGTCTCTACACATTTGGGCCTTATACCTTATTAGATAACTTATTAGCCCACTTAAATTAATATCCATAGGACCACTAATTTTTGGGCCTAAATATAAGATAGCATATAACATACAATTAAACCCGATAAATAATATATTGTGAATATTACATGCAATATAAGTCCAATAATCTAACAATCTCCCATTTGGACGACATACACATGTATACACAATCCTCAGAATTGTATGTTTACTTTAGGAGCTCCAAAATTTTGCTATCAAACTGTAGTCATCTTTAATCAATCCGGTCCATTAATTATATCAACATAGGATCAAAGAAGTCTTTGCTATATTTGAATAACTAGACCCATCAATGATCACATATATTAATATAATAAACAACATGGATCAAGTATAGGTGTGTAGCGTGGAAATAACATAAAGTGTGGTCTGGAATAGAATGTCTATTTCCAACTGGTCCACCTTGAGATCAATAATATAACTGTAAGAGTACATAAAACTTTAAACTTAATTTCTGCAGAAAATAACCTTAAAAACTTGAATCAAGTCAATTAACCAAATATAGAAACATTACAAACCCCCACTAAAACTCATAATCCTCAACTGATTTGACACCCATTTGTGCAACATGCTCATGAAACACTTTGGGTGGTAATCCTTTAGTGAGCGGATCCGCAATCATGGAGTTTGTGCTAATGTGCTCTATAGATAACTTTCCTTCTTGTACTCGTTCCTTAACAGCCTTAAATTTGACCCCAATGTGTTTTGCCTTGGTCAAACTATTGTTGTTCTTAGCATAGAGGACTGCTAATCTATTGTCACACAATAGCTTAAGTGGTCTTTCAATGCTGTCCACTATGCGTAGTCCACTAACAAAATCTCGCAGCCATAGTGCCTGATTGGATGCCTCATAACATGCTATAAACTCTGCTTCCATGGTGGAAGTAGCTGTAAGAGTCTGCTTGATACTCCTCCAGGAGATAGCTCCTCCAGCTAGAATATAGATGTAGCCTGAAGTGGATCTCAAGCTATCTTGACATCCAGCAAAATCAGAGTCGGTATACCCAATGATCTCAAGCTGATCCGATCTCCGATATGTGAGCATATATTCCTTTGTTCTCTGTAAATACCGCATGACCCTTTTGGCTGCTTTCCAATGGTCCATTCCCGGATTGCTCAAATATCTGCCTAACATCCCAACAATGTATGCCAAATCAGGCCTTGTACAAACCTGGGCATACATCAAACTTCCTACAGCCGAAGCATAAGGAATGTTCCTCATTTCATTAGAGTCAAAACCATTCTTAGGGCACTGCATGAGACTAAACTTGTCTCCCTTAGAAACTGGGGTATCTCCTGGTTTGCAGTCTTGCATACCAAACCTTTTGAGAACCTTATCGATATAGCTCTTTTGTGAGAGTCCAAGAACGCCTTTGGAGCGATCTCGGTGAATTTGAATTCCTAATACAAAAGAAGCCTCACCAAGATCTTTCATTTCAAAATTCTTTGAAAGAAATCTCTTAGTTTCGTGTAATAAGCCTATATCGTTAGTAGCAAGCAGTATGTCATCAACATACAAGATCAGGAAAATATGCTTACTCCCACTGAACTTGTGGTATATACAATCATCACTGACATTTGGTTGAAAACCAAAAGATATAATGATTTTATGAAACTTGTGATACCACTGACGAGAAGCCTGTTTGAGCCCATAGATGGATTTCTTTAATTTGCAAACCATTTTCTTTGAATCCCCCGAAACAAAGTTTTCTGGTTGCTCCATATAGATTGATTCCTCAATGTCACCATTGAGAAACGCAGTTTTTACATCCATCTGATGAAGCTCAAGATCAAAATGTGCCACTAATGCCATTATTGTTCTAAAAGAGTCTTTCGAGGAAACCGGAGAGAAAGTCTCTTTATAGTCAATTCCTTTCTTTTGAGTGTAGCCTTTAGCAACAAGACGAGCTTTAAACCTTGTAACATTGCCCTTTGAATCCCTCTTGATTTTAAATATCCATTTACAACCAATGGGTTTAATATCTTCAGGCAATGAGACTATCTCCCAAACGTCATTGTCACTCATAGACTTCATCTCATCTTTCATGGCATTAATCCATTCTTGAGAGTTAGAACTTTCCATGGCTTGACGGAAGTTGATTGGATCATCTTCCGCAAAACCAACATTTGATTCTTGTTCTTGGAGGAAGACAATTATTTCTTCCACCAATTCCCAATTTTCCTCATGTTCTAGGAGAAATACAATATAATCATCCGGAATTGCGCTTCTCCTCTCTCGAGTGGATCTCCTTAATGGCACCTCAGGTTCTTGAGGTTGTTGAGTTTGATCCTCATTAACAAATTCAGGTACTTGATTGGGGATGTTTTCGAGATTGTCATGAACTGGAGTTGTTTCTTGAACATCATTAGGAATAAACATATCTTGATCATGTTCAATGACAACTGAAGGAAGAGTAACATGTTCTTCCTCAAAGACAAAATCTCTAACCTTATCTCCCCACCCCCCAAACTCAATATCCTCAAAGAACCGGGCATTACCCGTCTCAAAAATAGTCCTGGTAGTGGGATCATAAAATTTATACCCCCTTGACCTCTCAGAGTATCCTACAAAATAGCTACTAACTGTTCTTGAGTCCAGTTTCTTTTCATTTGGCCTATAAGGCCTTGCCTCAGCTGGACAACCCCAAACATGGAAATGATTTATACTGGGTTTCTTTCCAGTCCAAATTTCATAAGGGGTTTTAGTTGTAGCTTTAGTGGGAACTCTGTTAAGTATGTAAGCTGCAGTTTTCAGTGCCTCTCCCCAGAGTGAATCGGGTAAAGTA